GGGCGTGAGGGCCGGCAGGGCTGGGGACAGCTCGGTGGTGACCGCAGGGTGAGGGCTGGTCAGGCTGTGGCGTGGCTCGGTGGTGACCACGGTGTGAGGGTCAGCAGGGCTGGGGAGCAGCTCGGTGATGACCACTGGATGAAGGCTGGCCCGGCTTGGGTGTGGCTTGCCAGTGACCAGGGCGTGGCTTGCTGGTGACCAGGATGTGAGGGTCAGCTGGATCAGGAGGCAGCTTGGTGGTGATCAGGGTGGGAGGGGGACGGGCTGGGGCGTGGCTCAGTGATGACCAGGGGGCAAGGTCCGGCCAGGCCAGGGGACAGCTCGCTGGTGACGATGGGGTGAGGGCTGGCCAGGCTGGGGCGTGGCTCAACAGTGACCAGAGGGTGAGATCCAGCCAGGCCAAGGGACAACTTGGTGGTGACCAGGGCACAAGGACTGCCCAGGCTCGGGGCTAACTCAGTGATGACCAGAGGGTGAGGTCCAGTCTGGCCAGGGGACAGCTTGGTGGTGACCAGGGGGCAAGGTCTGGCCAGGCCAGGGGACAACTTGGTGGTGACCAGGGGACAAGAACTGGCCAGGATGGGGGGTGGCTCAGTAGTGACCACGGGGTAAGGGCTGGCCGGGCTGGGGCGTGGCTCAACAGTGACCAGAGGGTGAGGTCCAGCCAGGCCAGTTGGTGGCTCAGAGGTGACAGGGGTGTGAGGGCCAGCTGGGCCAGGGGACAGCTTGGTAGTGACCACGGGGTGAGGGCCAGCTGGGCTTGGGCGTGGCTTGCCAGTGACCGGGATGTGAGGGTCAGCCAGGCCAGGGGACAGCTCGCTGGTGACCACGAGCAAGGTCCAGCCAGGCCAGGGGTGGCTCAGTGGTGACCAGGGGACGAGGGCCAGGCCAGTGGGTGGCTCACCTGTCACCAGAAGGTGAGGTCCAGTCGTGTCCAGGGGGTGGCTCAGTGGTGACCTGGGCGCAAAGTCTGGTCAGACCCAGGGGGCAGCTCACCTGTGACTGGAGGGTGAGGTCCAGCCAGGCTGAGGGCGGCTTGGTGGTGACCAGAGGGCGAGGGCTGGCCAGAGCAGGGGACAGCTTGCCAGTGACCATGGGGCAAGGTCCGGCCAGGCCAGGGGTGGCTCAGTGGTGACCAGGACATGAGGTCCGGCCAGGCCAGGGGTGGCTCAGTGGTGACCACTGCATGGCACAAAGGCCAGCTGGGCTGGGGTGTGGCTTGGTGGTGACCAGGGGGCAATGTCCGGCTGGGCTGGGGTGTGGCTTGGTGGTGACCAGAGGGTGAGGGCTGGCCAGGCCAGTGGGTGGCTCACCAGTGACCAGAAGGTGAAGTCCAGTCAGGTCCAGGGGGCGGCTCACCGATGACCAGAGGGTGAGGTCCGGTCAGGTCCAGGGCTCACCTCTGCCCACCGTCCATCCCCGCAGTTCGAATACGGCGGCGAAGGCTCCAACCCCGCTGACGTGGCCATCCAGCTGACCTTCCTGCGCCTCATGGCCACCGAGGCCTCGCAGAACGTCACCTACCACTGCAAGAACAGCGTGGCTTACATGGACCAGGCCAGCGGCAACCTGAAAAAGGCGCTGCTGCTGCAGGGCGCCAACGAGATCGAGATCCGCGCCGAGGGCAACAGCCGCTTCACCTACGGCGTCACCGAGGACGGCTGCACGGTGGGTGGCGGGGTGGCCGGTGGGGTGGCTGGTGGGGTCACAGGGTGGCCGAGAAGGTTGTGGGATGGCCAGAGGGGTGACGGGATGGCCAGAGAGGTGGCGGGATGGCTGGAGAGGTGATAAGGTGGCCGGTGGGGTGACGGGGTGGCCGGTGAGGTCGTGGATGGCCGGTGAGGTGGCGGGGTGGCTGGTGGGGTGGCAGGGTGGTCGGGGAGGTTGTGGGATGGCCGGAGAGGTGACAGGGTGACTGGAGAAGTGATGGGGTGGCTGGAGAGGTGATGGGGTGGCCAGAGAGGTGACGGGGTGGCCGGAGGAGTTGTGGGGTGATCGGAGAGGTATTGGGGTGGCCGGAGAGGTGATGGGATGGCCGGAGAGGTGACGGAGTGGTGGGGTGGCCGGAGAGGTGATGGGGTGGCCGGGGGGATAGCGGGGTGACCAGTGGGGATGGGGTGGCTGGTGGGGTGGCCAGAAAGGTGACGGAGGTGACCGGAGGAGTTGTGGGATGGCCGGTGGGGTGGTGGGGTGGCCAGTGGGGTGTCGTGGGATGGCTGGAGAGGTCGTGGGATGGCCGGAGAGGTGGCAGGATGAC